AGAAAAATTATACATGGACAAACAAAACTAACCATAATATAACAGATAACCATAATATACAGATGTCATGCAGTGCTGCTTTTCTGTTGTTTTTAACTGAAACTAATTAACAAATTCTTGCTGTATGTTTCTCCACTGATTTCATAGTGTAATATATATCAACATGAGGGAATAGTAGTAATACCCACCTAAATGCCATTTATGTGCAATCAATTTCCTTTCTTCAGATTTCACACATGGCCAAACCCAAATATGTAGTTACTTTAATGTCAGTTTCCCTTTCTTAGAGCAAAACATCTCACAAAGAATGTGAGAAATGGCTAGGATGTTAAATTACTTCTCCTGATGTAAAGATACTTTATTGTAATATATTGAAAGGAATTTTTTGACACAAAAAATTATCTACACAATTTTTCTGTTTGCCAGAAAGAAAAAGGCCTTTGGATTTGGTGTAAAGTGAGTCTCTTTGGTCTGCAGAGCTGTTGTTCCTGTGTTTACGGGAGGTGTGGAAATTCTGAAAAGTATACCAAAGGTTACCGCCCAGACAGCTGGCTGCTGCTGTCCAAGGCAATGAGCATCAATTTTCAAAAAACGGGAATGATTTAAAAATCAGTACTTTGGGGTTTCATGTCAGAGTCTTAAAAGAAAACCCCTTTAAAATATGGTTGAGACAAAACCTACGTCATTGTGCTCAGAGACTGAATACTGCAAAAGCTTTAATGATCTATTGATCATTAGGGAGATGTTTTACACTGCACCCAAAGCCATAGTGAATAGTGCTATCAGCCGCTAACAGCACACAGCGTATTTGCCAAAGATGCTGAGCTTTGTGGAGACAGGTGCACAGACGGACTCCAGCCCAAGAAGCAAAAAACTTGTTTCGTTAGTGGCAGAAGAGAGAGCAGTTCCTTATTCTTATCTTGGTTAGGGTCAGATTCTGACAGCCCTCTGCAGTTTATGTAGTTCCTTACTCCTTCAGTAAATCAGCTACAATCTAGGAAAAAGGGAGCATTACTCAATGCAGGTAAACAAAGCAGAACCTGGCCCTCTGTCAGTAAATGATTTGCAAAAAGGTCTTTTAAAGATGTACTGTGAATCACTGTTTGCTTGCCTTGTGGCAGCAAACAAAGACAGCCTCCAAATCCCACTGTAGCATTTGGCAAGTGTAATCCTAGCCAGTGTATTTCAGTTGATTTCAAATGCACTGTCCTAAGTGAAATGGAAATTTCAAGGAAGCAGAGTTAAAAGATGCTGGCAAATGAATCTCTGCTACAAAGGCTGAAATGGGGGATTACAAATGAGTGATCCCTTTAGTTAGCCTGCTAAATTGGTGTGCAGGCCTGGAAAAAGAGAACAATGAACACCTCATGACACCAGGCTGTTTGTCTGGTGAGTACCCCTCAGTGCAAATGTTGGTACTGTGTGAGTATTTTTTGTGTTTCTATAAAGTCCTAATGAGCTTCTTGGGTGAGAGTGAAACCCTTTGCTTTTTCACACTGTGCTCAAGACCCTTAAACTTCATGGGGTCAGGCCTAAAGAAAGGGTAATGGACCATGAGGTCCAGCTTAATAGACCCGATATTAACACAGCAGCAAGAATGTCATCAAATGCAAAGTTTAGGGCAGGCAGTGAATGAAGTATTTGTTACACTTAAATAATATACAAAGATTATAACAGAGTAGTAGCACTATATCAATGTCATCATGCGGGACTTTGAAAATCCCCCATGTATGAAATAACTTTGCAATGCATCCTTGTATAATAAACACCACAATTTACCTACGTGTCCTAAAAGATTAATTACATTAATGTGTGTTAAATGTCATACCTAGCTAATAATATTTATCATAACTTGTCATTAATCTTTAACTTTGGAAAACCTATGTATAAGAAAACCTCTCTAATATATTAGATCACAGAAAGAGAATATTTGCATATGAGAAGCAAAGAGTTTATTCATTCAGTGGCTGAGATTCCAGTACTGACAGATCAATGATTTTATTGGAAAGTGAATGAGATTTCTCATTCTCATTTGAGCCCTGAAATATTTATTTGTGTAATTAATGTTTCATCTGACTGATGAAGTTAATTCATAATTCAGTGTAAATTATGAACCAATATCGGGTCAGGTGTCAACAACTCAACAGCTTATTTAATAATTGTTTAATTTCTTTTCATAGGCTTACAGTTGCAAACCCAGAACACTGCATTTGAAATATCTCTATATTAAACTTTATTTCTAGGTAAGGAGCTTTTGTAATTGTCTGCATTTTGTACCATTAGAAGAATAAAATGTAGATATAAATAGTGATTTGATGAGCTTTCTGAAAGTGACAAAAACTTTCAGAAAGTTTTTCTAAAAGGAACCCCTTTATTTCAATCGGCAGAGTTTACTTCTCTTTTAATGAGTAGACTATATGCTTTCCAGTAAAATAATTTGAAAAGAAGCTACCCTGCAAGATGTGTGTGTTGTCCCTTTGAAATACAGCTTCACACAGATGCTTGAAATGGGAAACAGAAAAATTAGTCAAAAGAAATACTGATAAAGTTAGTAATTTTATTTAACTTTGTAGAAATAAAAAATTCTTTCTACTTTGGAAAAAAGGAAAATTTCCTATGTGTGATGAACGACATCATTCAGATGTTTACCAGTATGTGCTTGCAGGTGATGGGAACAAAGAATGACCCTGACCTGCCTGGGGACTCCAGGGGGACAGAAGGGCTGATCTCTACTCTTGGTGAGCAAATGAAAGCAATGGAGCAGCATTGACTGCTTTTCTGCCTTAGGACAGTTGCAAACAGTTTTCCTAAATTATGATTTTCTTTGTCCTTCTGAGGTTAGTTAAAGACTGGTCGGTATATGGAGAACAGGACCTCTTCCCAGGGTGTCTTTCTTCCCAGAGACTTTGTACAGAAACTCATATGCAGCTCATATGGGCTGGCCATGGGTTGGCCAGGGAGATGGTGGGAGCTATGGAACTTGTCTGGCTTGGTCCAACATCCACATCTGGCAACAGAAACTGCACTAAACTGTGGCTGTCTTGCTGCAGGACTCAGGTGGAGACCTCCTGCCCAGCATAAAAACTGAGCCCACCACAGTGGTGCTGCTAAAGCCAGCTGATGATCTCATCCACATTTCCAGACCGCTCAAGCCTGGACAGCAAGCCAGGCAGTACAATGGAGTAGGTGGCCATGAAAAGCGAAGAGACAAATTGCTTCGCTGACATCTCTGTTGTGACTGCTAGAGAAAGATGGGAAACCAAAAAAATTGCCAAAGTGATTACTGATTTCACCATTTGCTGCCTCTCACAATGATATTAGGTATTCATCTTCCATTTTTGGAAGTTAGTGGTTCAACATTTTCATTTAATCATTAAAATATAAAAACACACAATAATCATTTATATTAAAATATTTTTCTCAAGTCATTTTGAGAAATATGGTTCTCTGTGTTTTAAAAATTTTAATTCAATTTTCATGAATAGAGAAGGAAAGCACATTGAATTCCTCATGTATTCCAATATAATTTCCCAAGCTTTGGTACAGCTCAAAGCTTTGTGTGGAGAAGCCAATTAAGGTTGATGCTGGCACTTTTCAATAGCAGCGCCACTAGGAACTTATCTTAAGACCAAAGACACCAAAATTATAGTCAAGGATTCTTAGTGACAATGCAGCTCTAGTGCAGGAATATGCATGTCTGCATTAATTTTGAGTTTAAATTTTATCTGTACTGAGTAAAATAAAAGTAACCTCTTCTCTGACATAGAACTCTGCTCCATTTTGAATTTGACTTGGGCTTGTTTTATCTGTAAGTGAGGGGAGATTCAAATATCCAGGATTGTAGCTGTCTTTTTCACCACTTCAATGTGAGCAAAGTGACCAGAGACTATCAGATCATAAGGAGAACAAAGAGACTTTATCATCTAAGGTTACTTCATATTATCCATGATTGGTGAACATATATTGCAACCTTGAACATAAACAACTCTGCAGGATTTTAGCCTTTTATTAGAAATTTATAAAGTTAGCAATTCAAAGTCAATTAAAATCTGAACATAACTGTTCCAATTGTAGGAAAACTAACTACAATGGAACAATACAAGTTATGATTCAAACAATGAGAATCAAAGTGATTGTATAAATAAAATGTTATGAAGTCAGAAATTATTTTGAGCAGTGGGTGAAATCATCAAGGAAACACTGTGCTTTAAATCATGAATATATGTAACACACTCAGAGGGCTTGAAATAGGCTCTTAGTTCTTGAACTGTGGTATATGAAGTATTGAAATATGAATATATACGAATATATGGAATATACGTCAACAAAAGTGAAAAGTAGTGAGTTTTGGCTTTTTGTCTTGTATTTTCCACTGGCTACCCTTAGATAGCTTTGTGCTCATAATTTAAGTCTTCTAGATCCCATTTCAGGAGCAATTTCAGTTAGGATTTGAGATGTGCTGCTCTTATTTATATGGTCTCGCTCAGACCAGATGTCTGAAGTCTGGTGTAAATGATTTGGTAGTTAAGGGAAAAGCTAACATCTTCAGATGGCACGGTCTTTGGAGCATGAGGGTTAGAGCTGTAATCAGCCAATTTCATTCCTCTTTGCTAATTTATACCATGCAATTTACTTTAATCACGAGACTCCTCAGGGTAGTATGTTATGTGACTACTTGTTCTCATTTGGCCTGAAGAAACCGGTGTTTTCCAGAGGAAAACCATAGGTGCCAAGTTTGCTACCTCAATGAGAAAGACCAGTCCATACCCAGTGGCACATACTTGACTGGATACCAGTCTAGCATGCAGCAGGCTGACATTCAGAATATAAAAATCCACTCCAGAATTAGTGACTGCAGATACTTTTTTGTCTGTCTCACAGCTTTTCTATAATAAAAATCTCTTCTAAGGAATAAGAGCAATCTGCACATATATATTTCATATATATATGAGCTATACAACATATTTAGAAAAAATAATAAACCTTGAAAAATACAGGAATTGGAAGTTCATACATGGGAGTTTTATTCCAGTGTATATCTCTTCAGCTAGACATGAGGGCTTGACCTATGTGTCTATGCAAGTTTTGAAAAGGAACTAGTTATTTTGAAAATCTTCTATATAATGCAGGGGTCTGGAGAACAGGAGTGTAAACACACAGAGAGTTTCTTACAGAACAGAACATCACACTTGTACACAAGGAATATGTGACTTCTGAGTTATATTCTAATATTTATATAACTGCTATTATTAGTAAAATAGTCACTTAGGCAGTTGCTGCTCTACTTTGCTTTCCTGTAAATATTTTTTTTTAAAAACCCAACTTATTGTTTTCCTCAGTTTTCACTGTTACAAATAAATAAGGGAGAGCTTAAAGACTCTGAACAACTCTCCAGCTTTAAACTCTGCAAACTCTCCAGGTTAAGCCTTGCTGCTTAATATCCTGGATTTCAGAGTCTCTTTTACCTACATTGTGAATTTTAATTCCAAAAATATATTCAAATTTTGGCTGAAGTATTTCTCACTTTCAGCAGTCAAGGAAGTATGATAACTGCTCAGAGAGCCCAGACAGACTTCATCAGGGGTGATGTGTCTCACTTCTGGTGATGAAGAGGACAGAAACTGGACACAAAAGCCAAAAGCACACAGAATTCTAGCATTGTAGAAAGCTTTCCTTTGGCATGATGTAGTGTCTAATACATGTTCTCATATCAGTACACTTAGATTAGTAATGTATACCAGTTTGTAACAGTCTGACAGCAAACAGAGTCCAATCTTCTGCCTGACAAAGATGACTGAAGAAAAATATAGCTATAACTTGTTATGCTGTTATATTCCTTTGCAACAAGGGTACTCAGTAAATGCATTTCCAGGAACAGCTTTTGGACAGGGCTGCACACTAATGCCAGCAGAAAAGACAGCTGGCAAACAATCATTCAGGGCTGTGGGCAGGTTTTCTCACAGAGCTGCCACCAAAATACTGGGCTGCAACTTCCAGGTAGAGAAGAATGGGTATGGTAAGGCTAACTCAACTTACTCTAAACTCACCTCTTAATAATCCAGGAGGTGTGACCCCAAACTAAAAGGCTTGAATCTACTGAAAGTTATAGTGTAAAAGCTGGAAGCAGCAGTACCATTCCTTTCCTGGAAATCCAGAGTCTGTTTTTTCATCACGAAAAAAAACCACACTGTTTCTATGTGTACCAATGGTAGCAAAACCTCTGCCCACAAAAGGTTTCCAAGACTATGGGTAACCTGTAAGGAAAGCCTACCTCTTCAATAGTCAGTATCCTGGGCTTAGATTGTCTCTTCAATATTTGTAAACTGACAATTATTTGCTTACACAGAATAAAAAGCAGTGACAAAGTGAAATATAGATACTTCCGTTTCAAGCATATTCAAATCCTCAAAACTTTACACTGAAATGATCAAAATAATGCATCTTCTCTTCCTAGCATGAAGGTGCAAAATGTGTAATAGTAAATATTTTCCCATTCAGTAAATTACACAAAGGTCTCTTACTTCTACACTTGGAGCAGAATCACTTCAATATCTTCCCTGAATTGTGTTGTATTAGAGGAAAGTCTTTTCAGGACTGTGAGAGACAGCACCACTAACTTTCTTCCATTTTTTATAGTCCATGAGACATAATTTCCCTTGTAGGAAAAATCAAATATCTGAATCATTCCTGCATAATGGTTGCATCCAGTCTGAATTAATTTTATTTACAAAAGGATTTTCAGTCTTGTGTCTTGTGAGGTACATTAAGTACCAGTCTGTCACACTGAAAACAGAGATAACACATTTTCAGTGCCTGAGAGCAGAGAAAAAAAGCTTTAAAATACAAACACTCTGAATAAAGTTCCTTTACTCCAGCACACTGAACATGAAATAAATTCCACAGCCAAATGGGGTCCTATAGAGACCTATAGGACCATTTCCTCTGTTAATTAAAGGAGCTGTTGTTACTGAAGTGTTTGGCAAAAATAACCTGCATTTGGATTGCTATTTTCTGAGGGGGAAATAGCTCCCCTTGCAGACAGAGACAGAGGAAGATATGTTAAACTGAAAATGTAGTGAGCACACAACCTCTACATGCCAGTCAATACAAAACTATGTTATTATCCAGCACACAGAACTTATGGTCAGAACAAGGCTTTTCATTTGAAGAGAAAGCAGTGAGCATGTGTAGTCCTGCTTCCTTATCTGCTGCTAAAGGGAAGTTCCACTGGAGCTCCTCTGCCAAAACTTAAATTTGCTGGAGGTTCTTCCTTCTCTGTAAAATCAACCTGTATTGAGATCCAACTGGTGAAAGCCACTTCTTGTGTGTCTGTGCCTGGGGTTTCCTTGGTAAGCAGCAGGAGATGGGGTCAAGGAAGGAGTTCTTCAGGCACTGAGAACAACTGGAGTTTCACAACTTTGAGGTTCTGCCTATGAGACCTCCAGACAGACTTCAACAGGGCAATATGTGACATTTCTCTTTGGTGGGGTGGTTTCAGTGGGTAAGGTTTGGAAAGGAAAGAAGGTGAATCTGAAAAAAAAAGAAAAATAAAAGAAAAAGGTTGCAGTTGACTGAAATGTTCAGGATTTCACACTATTTTCTCTTGGTTGAATTCAGCCTTTTTTTTAATTCTTGGTATGAGGATCTGCAGGAGAAATTGATGGAAGGTCGATTAGTACACTTCACTACTACATTCCTAGTTGCAATTTTTCTTCCAGTACGCAGAAGTCAAGAAAGGGCCAACATCATCTGTTTTGGGGATTAATTTTCCACGGGTTTGTTTCCCAGATCCTTGTGTGGTGCACAGAACTGCTGTTCCTTGTTGCACCCCCTCTGCTAGGTTGGCAAACCTAAATTTAATAAGATATTTTCTGCAAGTGAGGCTTTTCTTTATTTTGAGAAATCATCTACTAGGGACTAAAACAAGTAACTGGGAGGTGAAATCTGAGCAGTACTTGTGTATTTTCTTATGTATTAATCCTTTGCATGGTTAAAAATACCAAATCATTCGTAGTGTAAGTTATGAGTTAAATCCTATTTATTACAGGAATTTATGTACAGGGGAAATAAATTAGTATATTCAAATACAGAGTATGTAAACCATACAAAATACTTCCATCTTTACATTGTGTGTGGTAAAATCTGCATCAAAATGTCAACAAATGTCTAATACTTTTGAAATGTTTAAATGTCTCCAGAGGTTCAAATGAATAATTAAATGCATTTTTACTTTCCTAGAGACGTCACCTAATATTTTCTGCTTAAGTCATTTCCGAACCCCAACCTGTCATACTAACAAGATTATATAATTTTTTTCTTCTCATCTTCTTCTTTTTCTTTCCTAAATTTTTATTTGCACTCCTTTCCTTTTCTTTCTTTTTCCTTTATTTTTCTCTTTGCTTTGTTTTCTCCTTTCTCTTTACTTTTCCCTTTTCTCCTCCTCTTTTCCTCTATTCTCCCCTCTTTCTTCTTTTCTTTCTTTTTTGCTATTTTTCTTTCTTATTTTCTTCTCTTCCCCCCCCCCTTTTCTGTCTTTCCTTTCCTACTCTCTTTTCTTCTCTAATTTCCTTTCTTTGGGGGGGTAGGTTTTTTGTTTGTTTTTGTGTTTGTTTGGTTTGTGGGGCTTTTTTGTGGGTTTTTTGGTGTTGTTTTTTGGGTTTTTTTGTTTGCTTGTGGTTTGGTTTATTTTTGGGTTTTTTTTTTTTTGGTTTTTCGGGGTTTTTAGGTTCTGCCTTTGGGTTGGTTTTGTTTTTATTTTTTGTTGTTGTTGTTGTTTGGTTTGGGGTGGGGTTTGGTTGGGTTTGGGAGGGTTTTTTCCCTTCTCTTTTCTTTTCCATCCCCCTGGGTGCCTGCATGCCCTCCCGGGCGGGGGGCAGGCGGTCCGTGGGACCGTGCTGCCCCCAGGAGGCTGCCTGGGCTGCTCGGGCTCCTCCCCGGCACTGCTCCGAGGGTGGCTGACAACAATCGCCGGCTCTCTGACAAAGCTCCTGGCTGTACAAACAGCGGTGGGAGAGAGCTAATGAGCTGCCCCAGGGCTGCGGATAAATGCTGGCTGAAAGTGACTTCAGTTAAGTGTCTGTTAGTGCCTGCGCTGGGTATGCAGGAGTAAATGTGTGTTTAATTGCACTAACGTGACTGCAGCACGCTGCCAAGTACAGCGCTGGAAATCACTCCTGCCAGTGGTGACTCTTTCAAAACAATCAGAAAACTAAGCGCCCAGATGAAATAACTCTCTACTCTTTCATAAAGGATCGTAACAACTTGATATCATTTATCTTGCCACCAAAGCAGTATATTAGGTTTAGGATTTTTTTTCAGTCACTTTCAATAGCAATTTAAGTATATTTCTAGATTACAGACACACACGTATATTGGGTAGGTGTAAGTCACCTAATGCAATTGGAGTTATTTGAGCTACCTCAGTATGAATCACTTGAGGAGCTTTCTCTAAGAATGACTCTGTAGAAATGCTAGCATTACAGTTGCCCTTGCAGTCTCTGATAGTTTACTGGATGTTTTTTGTGGGGAAAATTAAATATAAAAACAATATTTTATCCAAAGCTAATTAGAAGGTTTTTTGTTTGGTTTTTTTTCCCTTAGAGAAACTAACTACCCAGTCCTGGACTATTCAGGTAACCTTTTCCATAAAGATCCATTTTTACAGGCAGACACAAGCAATTATTACAAGCAGTCTGTAAATTAAACATACTCACCTTTGCCGGGCTGTGGGCCTGGATTCCTTCCATTGTTTTTCCTTGGTCTATCAATGATTTGTCATGTGGTCCTGAGAATGTCTTAGCTTCGCTGTGCCTTGTAATGCTTAGTTCAAGATAAACTAAATAATGATCATGAATTTTTAACATACATGGGACTGGAAAGGAGTCCTGAAGCATAATGGCGTTTCCCTCCAGCCAAAATAACTAATGGCACCTCTTCTGCTGGATAATGCAATAATGTCTGCTGAGGCTTTCTAGTAACAGCTTCCTTCTGAGTGGTGAGTGACATTATAGGATGCAGCAGCTTACAAGTGCCACCTTCCCACTGACCGTCTCAGTACCATCACAACACACACCGTTTTATAGCTCCTAGTGAACACTAGTGATAGATTACCTGTTTCCATGAAAAGCCAGCCCAGAAATGGCTGGGGAAAGGGCTTATCTTTAGTTCTGATTAGCAGTATGTTTCATCTTAAAACACTCAGATATCCATGGTACCAGGCAGACACTTGATTCTTTCACTGAATGCTGAGACCACCTGATGGTGGCCAGAGTAGCAGCGGAAAATGGGGAAAACTGCATGAAGTTCCTATGTGCTGGCAGGCACAGCTGAAGGGTCCCAACCACCCAAGGGAAGCCAGAACACACTATTTACCTCTGCCCATAGCCCTGCCTCCATCCATCCTTCCCAAAAGTTGGACAGATCCCAGAAGTTTGGCTTACTTGACAGGCACCTCTCCTGGATGAGGAAGAGGCAACTTCTTGATGTCCAGATATTCAAAGCCCATAACATTTATTTGGCCATACCTATATCAAAAAGAGAGATTTCAAGGAGCACTCTATTTTCTTTAAAACAATTTTCAAGCTTTATTAGCTCCTTGTAGGCAGTCTTTTATTCTTTTGTACTGCTGGTATGTGTTCTGAGACTATCTCTTTACTAAGCTGTTCTATTCACAGGAGGTAGCAGCTATCTTTTGAGTTTGTGGGAGTATTGTACCACTGGCCATAACCAAAGCAGCCAGAACCATCTGGTAATTCATTCTTAATGGAAGCATATGCTTGAAAATCATCATTTTGCTTTATTTTTTCTCTATACCCTATGGGTGTCAGCAGCCTCTTCCCATGTTCTGCATTTCAGAAATGATGAACACATTTTAAATACTAAGCCTAGCCTGGATTTTCAAGGCTGTGTGCAACTACAGAAAGTTTCAAAGAACTCTAGGAGATGGAAATTCACTAAAGAACTAAGTAGTCCTACAAGGCTCAAGCTGACAAATGCACAAACAAACTCCACAGGAGCTGCTAGTCTGTGCTTTCAGGCTTGAGCTTTCTACCTACCTTCAGTACAATACACAACTTCCCTTGACTCATTTTGTCTGCACAAACCTCCAAAGGCTTCCTGCTACAACCATCCTTTCTTTTCTTGCACATCATGGTGTAAGGAGTCTCCTTAAACTTTTTGTAGACCATTTTAGTCAGAGGGATGCTCTATGGGTGCTGGCCCTTTGATCTCACAGGAAAGGAAGATTTTTGTCTTTTGATGATGCTGTGAGGAAGCTTTGCAGATTATGAAGGAAAAAGCATTCCTAAAGGAAGCCCAAGCTCCTGTACAGGCAAGAAACCCACCAAAGAAGGAGAATCATCAAGCTGGGGGTAGTTCAGCAGCTCGGTTTGTTCCCCTCATGGCCACAGAGACTCATCTTAAACTGGGCTTCTTCCTCCAGGAACCAACCCATCAGCACATCAGTCTCAGCTCACAGCCAGGCGTGCCTCGCTGTCACTTTAAACAGCAGTGCTCTCTGATGTCCTCTGCATCTCATCTGCATACTTGGATGTCTCTTGCATGCCACAGAGCATCACAGCACCTTATCCCTTGAAGGCCACACCAGGAGGAATGTCCCCAGAAATATCTGGGGAAAAGTATGTTTAGGACTGTCTGTGGGACCAGGAGATTTGTGTCTCCAAGGGCAGAAACATCAGAAACATGCAAAGATGATTTTTCAGGAACAGATACAATATAATCAGTGGCAAAGATGCATCACTGACAGAAATTATCAGGGAAATTATTTTATAGAAGTTTTGTTCTCTATTGTAAATAGTGTAAATACTGAAAAATAGTATCGATTTGTTTGTATTGCACATGCACAAAGGCTGCTGCTGAAAAAACTTCTACATTTTGACACTAACTGCAGTTGCATTAAAAAGTGCTATTTTCACCACAGGACCTTTGCTTGGAACCTGTTCAGAGAAGAAACTGTTCAGTGTTTACTTTAGTCACACTATCTTGCATCTACTGTGGTCCATGTGCAGGGCTGTGTTCAACTTACCTTCCTGGAGCTCTGATCTGACACTTCTTCTCTGAAGTGAATCTGTCACAAACACTTATTCTCAAGGCTTCCCAAGGTAGGGCTCTAATATTATTTTCTTTTTTACTAGCTAAGGCTCCATTCCTGAGAACTCTAGGTATTATGTAGACCATTTTCTCCACATAATAATGTGCTGTTGTACACTGTGTAAACCCACTATGAAAGTGCAGACAGCCAATATTTGGCATTTCCTAAATTTTTCTCAATTAAAATCACAGCCATTTCATGTTTAATTATTTTTAATGTCATTTTAGGAGGAGTGACAAATAGTTTGACATGCCACATTCCTATGGCCAAGCCAAGTTTCTTCTGCTTAGATAGCTGAAGCAGAAAATACTGGATTATTGAAAATAATTTTAACAGAATTAACACAATTAATTTTGTCATATCCAGTTAAGGGAGGGAGTTTAGGAGAAACTGATGTTTGCAGTTTAGGCATGCATAATTTAGAAGGAAAGCAATCTCCTAGCAAAAAGTAAATTAAGGTTAGTGACCCAGGCCTAATATTAGACTTTGCTTCAATAGTTCATGTACAGGTCAATTGGAGTGTATGGCAAACAGCAACAGAAAACACTAAGTGAGCACAGCCTCTCTGGGGGTCCTGAGGTGTAGTGAAGGCTCCAATTCACATTTCACCCTGCCCATAAAGAGATGAAATCTGTGCTGCAGTATTTACTGTATCTGTTTAGAAATTCATCATAATTGATGGAATATGAAAACATGGTAGTGAAATTGAAAATAAATAGATATTGAAGGTGCAGATACATGTTTCTGAAATGAACTTTCAGGTTAATTTAAGCAGATCTGATTTTCTCACCCATTAGCAGTTAAAGGCTGTAACTGTCCATGGCTCTGCAAGGCACCCACAAAATTGACCAAGGAAGAGGTGAACTCTTCACTTGAGCTGTGGTTACTGAAAACCATCAGCTGCTTTCAGGAGAATCAAAGTTGCTGATGGCAATACAAACACAGTAAAAGCATCCAGGGTGTTCTGAGGGGACATCATGTAGCAGAGCCACCACAAATATATTTCTGTGAGTTAATGTGATAAAATGGGCTAGCCAGGTTAGCCAGTGTGCCCCAAACATCCTGAATTTACTGAACTCGTTCACTTTAAATTCATTTTGAAAGGGCCACAGCAATCAAAGAATTTATTTTCTGCATAGTTCAGTATCATGTGGAAAATATTATGCAGGGCCATTTTGGGTTGCAAGGGTGTGCTGTCTTAGAGAGAGAGCAACTAATCAGTAATGCTACCATTTTATGTAGTTCCTGGACTGCCTGGTTGGCATTTAGTCAGCTCATATCTTCAGCAAAACAAGATCAAAGCTGTTCACACCCTTCTGTTACCATTGGCAGTGATCTGTCACATCCCCATACTGAAACATCAGATATAACAGAAAACATTCTTACAGTGTTTGACTTTGTATTCTCCTAATTTCCTGTTTATCTAACAATTTTCCTTCAGAATGGAAGGTTAGAAAAGTAAGAATCAAGAAATAAGAGCTGTAGTAACTTGATGTCTCAGACACAAGTTTGAGAATGGTCACATCTGTAAATGGGAAGGGAGATTTCTTGCTTTGAAACTTTAATTTCCAGCAGCAACAAGCAGATTTGATGTTCACAAAGCAATCACCATGGCTTCAAACTGCAGATCTGGAAAACCATTGCAAAATGTTAAATAGGTTTTCTGGTACTTTGCAGGATCACAGTATGGATTTGGTCACTTCATGATAGCCATCACTCTGGATCCTTTGGTTCAGCATGCTGTTTCTCAAAGGAACTTGATGGGTATAGCACCTTCCAGAAGGAAACTAACTTTTAGATAGAAGAGGAATTGTGACAACCTTTACCTGTAAAAGTTTAAGCCACAGATGAGCATTAAAATTTGCTGTGTTTTTTCTGACCTGAATACAATGCCTGATGTAAAGATGCTTTTGCTGCAGCCTATGGTCAAAACAGAGAAGCCTTAATACAGCAGCCTGGGGAACATTTCTGCTTTTCCTTACAGGAAGTCAATAAGTTCCTCCTATGCATTTTTAGTCTTTGATCCTACAGCGCTTGAATCCAACTAGCATGGGAGTCAGGAAAAATCCTCATGCTATTTCTTGTACTTTTTTCCACAGCCAGCCATGGGCCCTTTCTGAGTAAGGGGTAGTGGCACAGTCACACCTTTACTTTGACCTGATACTGCTAGTCTTCCTCTCAGCCATTGGGCGAGTGTTTCTAAAGACTTTTTTTTCTTGTTCATGTAATTTCACGTGCCTGCATTTGGGGGAGAAGAAGGTTCTGTTTTATTCCTCTTTATCTTGCTCTTGAGTTTCTCTGGGTAGTAAGTCAAAGGCAAGGTGTTATTTCACATCTCAGTTTTGAGGACATAGATGTAAAGCCACGTTTGGCACTTGTTTATCCTCTGCAGTTCTGGAGGGGATTTGATGGAGGAAATAAAGTCGGGATGTAGCTCTTTGAATCCAATCCCGCCAAATTTATTCGGGCAAAAAAAGCTTTTGGGCTTCTTCCTCCTAATACCCCATGCAATGGAAGGAAACATATGCTCCTCCAAGTGACCATGGAAACTGGTGCCTTGGTTTCCAAGGTGATTTTCTGGCAAGTGGCCGAAGGAGGAAGCATTAACAAAACAAGATCCTGGGCAGCAGAAAGCATCCACATTCCTGGCGATGCAGCAGCCTGCACTGAGGAGGACACAGCCACAGAGACAAACAGAAAACTCCTCTGATTTTAAAATCACCATAGGTGTCAAACACCTGGCAAAGGATGGGTAACTTGGTCTGTGGTCCCAGATTCTTCACACATCTGTTTCCTTTTCTGGTTCTGTCTGGTGAATGAGATCAGTCTTACCCAACTAACATCTTAAGGCTCGTGTAATCTCACTTTCAATAGAAAACAAGCAAAATAACACAAGGAGAGAAAAAAGAAGCTGCTTAAAACTGACTCATAGCTTGAGGTAAGGAAATTCTCACACTCTGTGTATATCTGTATCTATATATATATATATGTATATATGTGTGTGTGTATATGTATATAAAGATACATATATAATGCTTCATAGTAAATAAGAGTGGTTTTCTTTCTTGCCATTTGCAAGATATTGAAGATGTGAAAAAAGACCCATTTCTCTTTCAGGTGCAAAAAAGATGCTTTGCAGAGCATGTGGGTAATCCTCCTGGGGCTCCAAAGCAGAATACAGTGAAACCTCTCCTTGACATTCTTCAGGAGGACAAAACTCTCCTTGTTTGCTTGTCAGTGTAATTCCTTCTTGGAGTAAATTTGAAATACAGTGATGTGGAACATGACATAGAGTGGAGGAGGAGGAAGGACTGGTGACAAGATCATTTCCTTTTGCAGCAGAGGGGAAGAGGAGTTGATACAGGAGATATATGTGCTCCTCCAACTCCTGTGCAAGCATTAAAGCCTGCCACAAAATACTCTCACATCATCAGTTGTGGAGTCTTCTGATTTATACCACTTACATGACCACAAGCCAGTACAGACATAACATTTAACAGTGGAACAACCCAGAAACAGCAATGTTACAGAAGATTAGATGAAAATTAAGACCATCCCTAGCAGAAGAGAAACCCATCCTGACAGAAGAAGTCTGATTGAGAAATAAAAGAAAGCCATTTAAGTGTTAAGTGTGCAGTTATATTCATGCTTGCAGCTGTAAGTAAAGCCTTATGAAGTTTGATTGTCAGGCTTTCATTAATGCCAGAAGGTCCTGTTCTATTCCTGCAGGATGCAGTTATTGACAAATTATTTCAAGAATGTTTCATGGCCACAGGATAGAACTGAATTATCTTTAAAAGTGCTGGGAAGTATTTTGACATTAAGTCACTTACCTAAATGTGGGATTTATTTCAGAATTCCTCCTTCTTCCTCTCTCTTCAGCTTTTAATGGAAAATCTGTGCTTGCAAGTGGTGGGGAAAATGTACAACAGCAGTCACAGAAAGCACTTTGCTTTCCACAAATACAGAACTTTACTGAAAGCTTGCAGAAGTAGCTCTTGCTCATCCCCTTGGAATTGCAGTTAAAATGAACACTGGCTGAAGTGTTGGATGCATCAGCCACCACAGTAAGGGGGGATGATGACAATGAGGGCAGAGGACGAAACCTGCACGAGTGACAACCTCTTCTGACCTTATCATTGATAAACTCCCACATGCATATTTTTCCACCAGATAAATCCAGGTTTTTCTAGGAAAAAAAACAACTATTACACTGATAATGGAATGGTAAGTTTGCAACATGCATTACTAAGTGGGTTCTACAGAGTAGAGCTCTCTCAGATACTCGGGGAAGTTTGTCTGAGCAAGCCAAGATGGAAATAGAAAGGTTAATAATGTATTTTATTAAAAATAAAATATCATGGCTTCTATATGCAAATTTCTGGAAACATCCTCTTTTTAAATGTGTGTTTTTGTGGCAGCTGCAGAATAAACTGTAGTATTACCACCATATTATGGTCACTCTTCAACTCTTCCAGTAAGTTTTATCTCCTTATGTTCCAAAATTCACAAACAATTTTATCTTTTCAGGACATACAGCTCTTATTTTAATTTTTTTTGTAGTCTGAACACTCAGCTATGGTTGTGTCATTTCCATGCTGGCTTACATCAGATATTTTTTCCCAAGTTACTGAGAAAGTGACACTGCTAAAACCACTTATCAACAAGTGTGGCAATTTATTCTTTATCCCAGACACCAGAGCTAGTTCAGAGCAGCTCAGGGTGTCCCCAGCAACAGGTAGAGGTCCTAGCCCTTGCTTTGAAAGGCCTGGCCACGTTAGTACATAGCTCACCTGGACTAACCAACACACCTTTGGAAGGCCTTTGCCTTCCCCACCACCTACCTGTGGCAATGCTGTAGTGTGTGCGCACTGGCAGGGTGAGGCAGCATGACTGAGAATATACTCTCTCTTTGAAGAACGAGTGAAATTTGCTACAGTCATTTCCCGTGACTTAGAGATATCCAGACAGACTTGAGACTATGGGGTCTTTTTGCACGTAAAATTAAAATATCATAAAACTGGAACAGCACGCTGCCAAGAAAATGACAGAATGTTATTGTTCATAATTCACCTTTTGAAATAACCTCGTTATCTCCCTGAAGTTTAAATATTCTGAACTATCTGAGTTCAGATATTTGTGTTAGAAAAATAACAGTACTTGAACTCTGAGTCTATTATTCTAAGATACACATTGGCCATATATATAACTTGCCTAAGAATTAAAAGCTTGGTATTAAACAGGTTAGAAATATCAGACAAAAAGTTTGCCAGATGATTACAACATCTACTTCCCAGCTAGCAAAAGCAGGCAAAAGGTGCTCATAGGTAGGAGTCAGCAGAAGACCTGGCAGCCCTTATGAGACTTCTGCATCAAGTAATGAATTAAAGAGGCCACTGCTCTGAGATCCATTATTTATATCCTCTTTTATACATTGTAGCTCACATTTCCTTGGTAATTGTTATTACCAATTCACTTCAATAGAGGGCAAAAGAGACTGAAATTGTCATCTCAGACTAGAGGCTGCATGCAAGAGTGAGAATTAAGAAATCTGTGAGGATTACATGCAATTGGAAACATAACCAAGGTAAGAAAAAACTACTAGAGTTGTACAGAATTTGGGTAATTTAATTTCCCTTAATGCTTCACTGCTCTCCCTATCTGTGAATCAAACTGAAATAAACACAAGAGCTTGATGAAACAAAAGTATCTCAAAACTCTCCACTGACTATAGTAATTTTCTCTAGGCTTGAACAGATTGCAAGAATCAACAATACCAGGAAAAATATATGGTGTGGTGAACTGGAAGAAGTTTCTTCTACATTTGCTTTTACTGACTTTTAATGCAGCAAGTTTGTGAATAATTTTGTGCACTTATAGGAATTTATTGTGGGGAATGACCATTTTATTAAATATATATAATATTTATATATACATTATTTATAATTTCTTTAGTTAGTTTTTATCTTCTCTCTGATTTTGTTTTTCCATTATAGCAGGGGCTTTGCATATCAAATTATCTCTTTTTTCATACTGAGTTTCAGTAATGGTGCAAAAGTCCCCTGCTTTCAGACACAAAGGCACAGTATCCTAGCATTTACTAAGAAGTCTAATGTTTTATGAAATGTGAAATAATAGACTTTGTTTGATCCCTGTGATGATTATTTCTTTCATCCCAACTGAGAATGCAGAATAGAAAGACAGCTGTGTTCTCAGCTCTGCAATGAATCTCACAGTGATGAACCACTCCAGCTCCTGTATCCTTAAAGAAATCCTCACACAAAAGTGATACTTGTCTCCTGCTATTTTTCCCAAATTTCATGTGCACTGATATAATTTACCAATAGTGGCCTTAATGTCTTTCAATAATTGGTAGCTTTGCCACAAAACTTCCCTCAAGGTTTTTTTTGGAGCACACTTGACCTACCAGTCCTCCAAATCTTCTGACCTTTTGCTTTCTACATGCCCATGTTATTTATTCTGCTAGGCCTATGGTTTAGGCCATATGAATTTTGCCCCCCAGCAGTTTGCTGACACCAAGAAAAACACTCATACTCAAAATTATCTTGAAAAATGAGAAAGAACTGATCAAATGAGGAAATATTATAAAAACAAGGGTAAGAATGCCCAACTAGGAACAGAAAATCAACTACAGAAATACAAAACAGGAAACTGCCTGACAAAGAGCTCAGCTGCAGAAATTAATCTAAGGCTTATTGCAGAGTGCAATAGAAATTTGAGTTGACAACAGTAGAAAGACAAAAATAAAAATTGTTCCTGTAGACATGTTAGAAGGAAAATCATGTCCAAAATGTACAGCAATTGTACTCATTGTGGGTGAGTTCTTACTTGGAATATGGTATTTGTTGTTGAGCACAGTATATTAAAAGAAAGGGTTAGACAATAAAAGTGAAATGAAAGTGAAATGAATGTGTGCAGAGGTACTGACTTGTAATAGAAATACTAAGAGGGCAGAAATGAAGGTTGAGTGGATATATAACTGCACAAGCATGATAACAATGGATTATATTCAATTAAAAAATGGACCACATTAATATAAAAGGAAGGACATAGTCCCCAACAGAAAGATCTAGGACTGTTTCCTGCATTTACCATTCCAGTCAAACCAGACCACAGATTACCCACCAGCAGAAGACTCTACCTCTAACAAATAAGAAGGTAATATCACATCACATTCTTTTTATTTCTAAACCATCTATAACACGGACTGAAACTCAGACCAGACTTGCCTAAAATTTATGGAGGTGGAAATAAGCAGGAGTCTGATGCAAAAGAATCATGTCATAATGATTTTTGGTTATTGGGTACAAAACACCTGTCCAAAAATTAGTTTGTCATTGCTCAAGGGAGATGTTGAGGACCTGATACCTGATGAGTCATCTCTTCTCAGAGTCACAGAATAGCTGAGGTTGGAAGGGACCCCTGCAGGTCATCTTGTCCATGCCCCTTGCTAAAGGAAGACCACCTGTACTGTGTCCAGGTGACTTTTGAGTACCTCCAAGGATGGAGCTCCATGGCCCCCTGGTCCTCTGTGTTGTACACAAGTGGCCCTGCCCAGACCACCTGAACTTGTTGTTCCTTGTAATTGTGTGGATGTGAGAGTGTAAGGGAATGCAGACCTTGAGAAAAGGACTGTGAGTGGGTAAAGCCAATGTACTTAAGAGATTTTGTAAAACTCTATCACCTTCTCTTACCCTAGATTCTCACACTGCACTTTTTACATTAACTTGGTAACAGAGAGAAAAGCACAGACAGTGATATGTGCTGGAAAGACGTAAGAAATGGATTTGTGTCACCTGGATGAGAAAAGCTTCAGAGGCATTAAGGTGATAGTTTTCCACATGTAATAAATAATGATGTCATTATCAAGAGAACAACAACCAGCTGTTCTCACAGATGCTGGGAGAAGGACAAGAAGAAAGCTTCAAATGCTGCAAAATTATATGGCTGTGTATCAATAGGAGTGAAACTGGGGGCCTCATGGACTCCCAACCAGAGAATGTGAAGCATGTGATGGCAAATATTTGTCACCAGTGTCTGGATATGTTCAAACCTGCCTTACTGCTGGGGGCTGGACCAGACCAGTAACTGACAGCAAGCTTCTGATGCTCAGTGCCAGATTCTTTGTCAAAGGCCCTGTGATTCAGAGCTCCTGGTGCCAGCCCAGATCCATGCCAGTTAAAGACTTGGTGCCTGCGCCAGAATTTTGTCACTACTGGGCTAAACAATTTCTTTTATTCTCTTCCTGACCTATATTGTTGCAGTTGCTATGAAACCCTTACTCATGGAAGCAATTTTTCCATTGGTTCCATGGACTGTCTCTGTTTTTCACTACCAGGAATGTTAAACCATGCTTGAACTGGGGTAGGGATTAATTAGCCTAACATTTTATTTCAGATGACTTTTGAAAAACTTGTCTAGTTAACCCAAATGCAATTCTTTGAATGGATCTTTTGCTATTATCCATCTGACAAAGAGATGGCAGCAGGGTGGTGCTGTTGCATTTTTCTCTTTATTTGCTTTTTTCTTTTTTTTTTTTTTTTTAATCTGTTCTTCAGGAGTAACAAAACTGAGCTTCTGAAGTTTTGGTGTTTTACCAAAACTACATGCAGAAATATTTGCATCTAGTACAAAGTCAAAAATACAAATAGCTATGCATTTTCCAACATACATGCATTTAATGTGAATTTTGAACACAGTATTCCCTTTGGTTTTTAAGGTAAAACTCAGCACCATAATCCATGAAACTGAACATTCAGGTATTGAAGGCTGAATGAAGCCTACAAAATCTTCATGTTCTGTAAATGCTGGGAGCAGGAGGTAGATCCTCTACCTGTATTTTTAGTAGGATCAAGTTAAAGAAACCCTACATTTTGTTAAAGCCTGGTTTTGAAGTGTTCTTTTTTTTAAACTTTGCTATTATTGGAATGTATTTTCATTCATTAAATGTGAAAATGGGAAGTATGTAACCAAGGTAACAATGATGTTCCTGGAGAGTATCCAAGTGCACCAATCTCATGTCACCATGCTAAACCAAGCTGTACCTTGTCTGTAAGAATTCCTGCCCTCTTTCCACCATTTATGAAACAAGATCTCACCAGCCAGGACCATATTTTGGGGAAGACCTGCAAGAAAAAGTGGCAGCTGAATATTACACAATACAGGTATGTAAAGATTTTACTGCAACTGTGTGCCAGGCACATCAAAACCATGATGTGTCTGCAAATGAGTCATCTTGCAGTGGCTAGGAGCAATGTAACTCACTCTCTCACCATAACCTCACAGAGTCTGAACAAGCAGTCACAGCAGTGAGTAAGACATGTTCTTAGATGGTCAGAAGCAGACTGGATGTGTCACAGGGCAGCACACCAGGTTTCCAACTGAGGACACAAAAGAACAAATCCAGACCACTTCTGTCTTTAAGCAGCCTGTAAGAGAAGGTCTTTGCCAAGCAGAGCCGTTTCAAAATTCTGCAATTAAATTTCTGAACGAATTTTTTTGCTGAAAGTGCTTTCACTTAGACTAGCTGTAATACCATGCCCTACTGTGACTCTAACCCACAGCTGACTGACAACAGATAACCACATGAACAAGCAACTAGCTTATCTGAAAAATGGCTTTTCATCCAGTTTCATGTTTGTACACTTTAAACATCCTAGGTCCTGTGAGTCATTTCAACACAAACAATAGACTTAAGAGTGAAAATAGATAGCTTATAAGGTTTTACTGCTTTTGGCAGGAAAAAAACCAAAAATGGTATCTTGTTCTTCTTACCTTCGCCTTTCCTCAAATATTGCTTCTCCATTTCTTCAATCCATTTTTACAGTATTATTTCCATTTCTTCTCACCATACCCCCTCAATCCAGTTCTTGTCTGGGCACTCCTCCAGATGTCTTGCAGTTTTGGGATCCTTTTACTTGCCCCTGGAACCAAAACATGTGAGTAGATGAGTATATTGCTGAGCACTTAAATCCCTTTTTATAAGTACTTCTGCCCCCGCAGCGTTCCTGCATAGTGACAATTCTGCATTCTCTGTGTTGCAAAATTCTCCTAGGTTGTGTCTGGAGGCAAAGCTGGAGATGAGGACAACTTCTTCCCTGTGAAATAGTCAACAACGAGTTGAATATATTACTAGAGCTCTAGAAATGGACTTTTTATTCACTCCCTGAGCATTCCCCCTTCAACTTCCACTACCTTTTCCAAATAACTCTACCACTGCTTTGGAGCTTTTTGCATATGCGGGCTTCACGCTTTCAGCAGTATTTACCAGTGGTGAGTCCTCCAACGCGCGGGTGCGTATTTTGACACGCTTTTAAAAGAGCCAGGGCTTTAAATGGACGTGGCGCTGCCGCTGGCCGCGGTGCAGCGGCGGTGGCGGGGAAGGGGCAGTGCCGAG